CTGTCCAAAAGGGAGATTAGGTGGAGGGGTGCACAAAATACCCTACCAGAAAGCTGTCAGCCTGCTAGCTTATAACCTGGCTGAGTGGACTGCTTCATAGACCCGGGTTCGTTTGCCATTTCCACGATGAACTGACATTCATTCTGGAATTCATCTGTGGTGGTGGTTGCGAAGCTTGTCTGTGAAAGTGCTTTCCAGAACTGCCCCATGCCTTGTCCTGTGACTACACGTGGCCCTCTTTATGTGAGGACAGCTCCTTCAGAACCCGTGCTCGTCATGACCCAGCAAGGCATGAAGAGAAACGCTAGCACCAGGAATAACCACGGTGGTTGCCGTCGTGCGGGCTGACTTCACCCAGCATGGTCTGTGTCCCGGTGCCATACCAAGCACTTCACATGCAGTTTTCATGTAATTATCAAGTCAGTCTTAGTGGATTTCTACTTTCATGAAACAAGGAGATCAAGGCTCCGGCAGGGAGAGGCAGACTTGGCTGGGATTACAGGTGTGAAGAAGGTGGGTGATGAGGATGAAAACACAAACCTATAAAACGTGGTGGTTTACAGAAATGAGATTCCTGACAACCATTTGTGTTTTAGCCATTGTTAGGTGAAAGGGGAGTACAGCTGCCAGAGCAGAGCTCCTGACAGCTCCTTCTGAGGGTGCCCTATCCAGGTGAGCCAATGAGTTTGTGGGACATGGCGGGTGTCAGCCTGAGAGAATAGGGTGGGGGCGGTTGGTTGCCCAGGTGGCAGTGGGAGGGGCCAGAGAGGTTTGCTTTGGAGGTCACAGAAGTGCAGCTCACCTCCTGGTTTTAGAGTTGATGAGCCCTGTGCATCTTTGCATTGCCCGTTTCTTCCTTCAGGAAAATGGGTACAGTAGTAATTATCTTGAAAGTTGATTCGTAAATGGGGGACATGCTGTATAGATGATAACACGGGTCTGGCCCCTCTGCTTGTCCTGGGAGCTGGTGTGTGAGTCGCGCTTGCAGCCCCCTTTCCTGCCTTACTTCAGCTGCGTTTCCCCAAATGCTGTCTCCTTTTTGCATCTGGAAACAAATGAAACCAACCCTCAGAGTCCTGGATTCAAACCCTTCGAGGATTCCCTTGGCTGCTGGAGCAAGCAAAGCTGCCTCTTGGACCCAACTGCTCAGTGAAGCGGAGCTGGCACCACTCCGTCAACCTCCCGAGCCTGTTGGGAGTCCTCTCTGGGGATGGCAGTGTAGAGCACTCCTCCCAGTACCTGGCACTGGTGCTCAGTAAGCATTAGCTCTGTTACTGGAGCATTGTCTTCTGAAGGCCTAGAAGACTGTGCATCTCACCCCTGTCCCTTTCGTCCTGATTCCCTGCTCTCTATAAGGCATCTCCCCAGTGTGTCTTCCAGCGATGCTCCCTCTCCCCACAGGGCCTTTGCGTAAGCTCCTCCCACCCCTGGCACCCTTCTTCGCTCCCACGATGGGCTGGTGAACTCCCACTCTCTGTTCTTCAGCCCTGGCCCCAGAGGCCTTCTCAATCAGCCCTCTCCTGAACGCCTCTCCCAGACCCTCCTGTGGACGCTCTCGTCAGGATGGATAGCTTGTCCGTTAGCTCCATGGTGAGAGGGCATTGTCTCTTTATTATCCATCTTTGGATTCCAAGAGCCAAGAACACTTCCTGACACTGAGAGGTGCCCTCTGTGTAGGTGTGGAAAGCAGGAACAAATGAAGGGGTCTTTCCTGTGGGCACTGGAGGAACACAGTGGAGCTCGCAAAGTCCCTGTGTCCCGTTTCTCAGCTGAGCAGCATGGTCAGCTTGGAGCCCCTCCGGGAGATTTGGGTAGACACCCAGGGCACTGGGGTGTGGGCGGTTTTCCTCTTCGAGTCCTGAAAAAAAAAATCTCTGGATACAGACAGATACACCAAGAGAGAGGCGAACAGAACTGTGGGAGCTGATGGGGCAGGAGGATGAGGGCAGGGCTCAGTCCATTTTCATCTTTCTTCCCAGCCAGGGAAGCCCAGGGTGAGTAGAGATGGTCTCAGCTCACGCAGTAACAACAGAGATGAAAGCAGAGGAGACCATCGACTGAGCACGTCTTACCTGCTTAGCAAGGCCCTTGGCACACAGAGGGGCTGGCAGTTATTAACAGGACGTGAGAATGAATCGCAGGCATTGTACTCATCATTCACCAGACAAAATTTCATTTTATCCACAGAACAATCTTGCAGGGCAGGATTTGATGGTCTGCATTTTATAGGACACCTGAGGCTCTCAGATCCTTAGAGGCACTTGTAGGAATGGAAGGGGTATGGTCTCCTTATGACCTCCTTTTTTCCTTTTTTTTTGTCTTCTCTCTGCATTTCTCTTTTCTGTTTCTGGGGTTCCTGACATCTGGCTGTTTCCCAGTTTTATCCTGCACATTCTAGCTACCACCTCTGACGTCCTGAGCTGGAGTCCATAAGACTGACACATTGCATCTCTTGACCTCTTTCTGCCCCCCTAGACATTTCTCTCTCTCTCTCTCTCTCTCTCTCTCTCTCTCTCTCTCTCTCTGTGGGGGCAGGGGGGTTGTTCATGGGCCTTCCCTGTTCCCTGCAGTTGATGGGCTTGTAGGAATTATAATGACAGCAGCAACTGGCAACAGCCCTGCCCTGAGTGCATCTCTCCAGGGGTCTTTCTGACACCCCTGAAAGGCTGATGTCATATGCCTATTTTAAAGATGAGAAGATAGAAGCTCAGAGAGGCAAAGCGACATGGCCTACACACCTGCATTCGTTTCTAGGGTCCCAAGCTTGGTGGCTTAAAAGATCAGAATTCTCCCGAGTCTGGAGGCTCAGCACTGGACATCAGTTTTGGCAGGGCTGTGCCCCACTGAAGGCTGCAGGCAAGGAGCCATCCTTACCTGTTCAGCCTCTGTTGGCTCCTGGCTTTCCTTGGCGTGTGGCTCCATCACTCCAGTCTCTGTGTCTGTGTTCATACAGCATTCTTGCTTGGGTCTTCTCCTTTCTGTCTTCTCCTTTCCCTCGTTGTTAGTCCTAGGGCCCACCTAGTCCACGATGATCTTGTCTTGAGATCTTTGCTCGGTTACCCAGTTACCTCTTCAAAGACCCTGTTCCAATTGGGTCATGTTCTGAGGTTCTAGGTGGCCATGTTTGTTTGTTTGTTTTTGAGAGGCATTATTCACTTACTACAACCTCTCTGCTGAGTGCTGGAACAGAGTTCATTCCAGACAGCACTACCCCCAAAGTCCAGGCATTTCACTGACACCTGCTCCAAGGAGACTCGCGAAGATTGTGAACTTTCTTTAACCAACCAGGAACCCGGGGCGTGCTGTTCTCACTCGGGCTTCTCTTTTTGTGTGATGTTATATCTTCATCAGAGCTGTAGTTTCCAAACAAAAGAGAAAAGATTTGACCTGGCAGTTAGGTTCCTCCTTTCTCACCTCACCACCATACACACCTGGGGGTTGGGCCAGGTGTGTATGTGTGAGCTGTACCTGACGCACAGCGGATCTCTTTCACACCCCCAGCTGCCTCTTCGTGTCCATCACCTGTTTCCCAGGTGCAAGCTCTTATGATGGGCAGAGGGGAGGGAGAGGGGAAAACCAAGGTTTCCTCTTGTGAGGACGTGCAGTTGTCCAGGCACTTGCAAGAAGCACACAGGAAATCTGAAGGTCAGAAATGGGGAGCTTGGAGCCAGGCTGGCTGGTGTGGCTGGACCGATGAGCTTTGCAGATGCTGGCAGCGGAGGGAAGCTCAGGCTTGGAAGGAGCCGCACGAGGGCATCTTGCGGTGGTGATGCAGGAGTGCTGCAAGCGATGCCTTGGAAGAGGGCTCAGACTGGTCTTGCACTGTTTTCCGACTTCTCTGAGCTAGTGTGATGCTGTGGCTCACACCCAGGGATTGGACCCAAGCCAGAAACCCAGCCTTGCCTATTTAGTACTGTGATTTGTCAGACAAGTGACTTAACTCTTCTGAGCCTCAATTATTTTATTTAGGAGGGAGAGTGGAATCGCCCATCCACTGGTTCACTCTGCCTCCCAGATTCCTGCAACAGCTGAATTTGGGCCAGGCTGAAGCTGGAGCCAGAAACTCCATCCAAGTCTCCACCATGGTGGCAGGATCTTAACTACTGGAGCCATCACTTGCTGCTCCCTGGAGTGTGCATTAGCAGGAAGCTGGAACTGACAACAGAGCCAGGATTGAAACCCAGGTACTATGATGGAGGATGCCGGTGTGCCAAGCAGTGCCTTAAGCACTTCGACTAAACACCACCCCTAAGCCTCAGATTTTAATCTGTATAAAGTGAATGTTGTCATCAAATTTATTGTGGGGATCCACTGACCTGGTACAGACAGTGCCTAGTGTGGTGCCTGTTGTGTGGCCAACACTAAAATGTTTGCAATGACTGCTATTATGATGTCTCTGCTGTATGTACCTCTTGGCCAAGGCGTTCTCATCTCATCTCATTTCTCCTTAGAGAGGGGCTGAGGTGGTGATTCATGCTCTTTCTTCCACCCAAATAAGGCAGCTGGCCTCAGTTCCTGGTACTCAGTGTCCCTGAGCTCTGATCCCATCACAAGCCCATCCGCCTGTCCCCATCTCCTGGAGCAGCACGCAGCTTCTTTCTCTGCTTGTTTGTTCTTTCCTGTTTGCTGAGAGTTGATGTCATTAGTTTAATGCAGGCTCCTGACATCAGAGGCTGTGTCTCTGTGACTTGCTTTGTGTTTATACTACGTGGCTGCTTAATCATGTTTGGAGACGATGGTGCATTACAGATGAAAGTTGAGTCAAGCAGGCGCTCCCACTGGCCCGAATCACCACAAGGGGTTTAAACCACTGTCCTTCCCACAGACACATGTTAGCACGCACCAAATGCTAGCTGGGAGGGATCTAACTATGACTAGGGTAGGTCTCTGTTTCATTTATTTCTCTGCATAATCAGAGCTCTTTGAGGTCAGGGACAATGCTTTCGCCACAGCCACAAAGTCCAGAGCACAGCACAGTGTCTGGAACGCAATGTGTGCCAAACATGTTTGTTTTATTAATTGTTAATTTGAGAATTATTTTTGGACTTGACTGTTGGACGGTGGGAACACAACAGTAGACAAAACAGGTAGTCATTTGGGGACGAAATATGAAGATGAGTAATTTGATTCACAATGACAGGTTCAGAAGCAGAGTGGTGGTGTGACCCCAGAGAACAGATTGGTCAACTCTGCTTGGAGGAGGAGGTCTTTGAGTTGGGTCTTGCAGGAGGAGTAGGAGTCCTTCATGTGAAGAATGGAAACAAGTCTTCCAAGCAGAGCCACAGAGGTGAGAAGGCATGTGGTGGTTTGGGGGAGAGTTAATGACTTGTTGTTTCTAGGGCTCAAAGGATTAGTGAGGAAGGACTTGGGAAAGATAGTCTGAGGCCATGGGGAGCTACAGAAGGCTTCTGTGCAATGTCCTGGTTAGACTGATGTTAGACTGATGAGAATGGAGGATGGCTTGGGGCTGAACCTGGTGAATTCCGGTAGCAGAGCCCTTCAGTCTGAACCATGGTATGCTGGTTATTTGTCCCTGAACACAAAGCCTTGATTCATAGTATTGCCCATTTTCCTGGTATAAACACCCGCACCATGGCTGATGTCAAGCTACCAATATGGACACGATGCCACTGAATGCAGATTTGGGGAGAGGTAGCACCATCTTGGTGAACATAGCACAAAACGTCAGATTCAAACCCGCCATTGTGTCCCTTGGGGAGATTTGGTGTGGGTCCATGGGGATAATGAGTGAGAAGGGATTTTGGAAACTATAAAAAGGTAACCCACACGTGAGGTGGTGGTCTGTGGTGGGTCTGCCCACATTCAGTGCGATCTGTTCTCACTCCACTCCGTGGAGTTACTCAAGTGGTTTTCCCTGCGGGTCTGTCCAGGGATTCTCTGAGCCATCTGGTTTGGGTGGGACTGCCCCAAAACCTAGATTCAGAGCCAGTGAGTAATATCCCCTCCCAGACCACAGGGATCAGAACTGAGCGATTATGGCTGGAGTTGTGATGCAGTAGGTTAAACCATTACTTGCCACACCAGTATCCCGTATTGGAGTCCTGGTTGCTCTGCTTCCAATCCAGCTTCCTGCTAATGCACCTGGGAAGGCAGCAGATGGTGACTCAAATACTTGGGCCCATCACCCCTGTGGGAGACGCGGGTGGAGTTCCTGGCTCCTGGTTTTGGCCTATCTCAGCCCTGGCTGTTTTTGCCATTTGAGGAGTAAAACAGAGGATGGAAGATCTCTCCTTCTCTATCTCTGTCTCTCCTACTTGCTCTCTTACTCTGCCCTTCAAATCTATCTATCTATCTATCTTTTAAAAGTGAGACAGAGAGAGACAGAGAGAGAGAGAGAGAGAACTGAGCCAGTTAGAGCCTGTGAAGGTCAAGGCGACACTTGCCTTGTTTCTGACAAAGACAGGCTTCCTTTTCCTCCTGTGACCGTCTTCCTCCCTCAGGATGGGGAGGAGCAATGGGGAGGATGTGCCTGGTATGTCATGAGCCCTGTACAGAGTGTAGAGGTGACCATCACTGTCCGAAGCTAGCCCTTTCCAGGACAGAATGGAGAGATGGGGAGACGCTGGCTCCCTCCCCACTGCAAGGCCTCTGTTTTAATTCACTCACCTGACATGGGACTGTTGGTTATGTGAACCCATGGATCCCCCTGTGGGGTTAAATCCATTTGAGTTGGGTTTCTGTCCTTTTTTAGTGGATGCTGTGAGTCTTGCTGTCTGCAGCATTATCATTAACACCATCATGGCCACTTAATTTACAAAACGCCCAACTGAATGCATAGCATGTTTATAAGGAGGCAAACGACTAAATCCTGAAGGAGGCGTTCAGTTGGTACAATTCATCCCATCACTAGGCAGAAAGGACTGCGGGTCTGTCCAGGGATTCTAGAAGACACTGACTTGAGGCAACTGCAGTGTTGTACAGTTATGTATTGGCATCTAGTAGGTGTGTGTCTTCCAGGTTGGATGGATAGCAGAGAATGAACTTCACAAGGTGTACACTGCTACCTGGGGCCTCATTTGAACCTCAGACACCCTCTAAGGGAAACAAGGAAACCAGATGACTTCTGCTTGTAGAAGAAAGTAGGGCGTAGAGAAGCAGACTTATGTGGGGTGCCACCCTGTGTGTGGCACGGTGGACTGGAGAATCCAGCCCTTGACTCTAGGTGGCATTTGGTCCTCTGTGGCTGACACCAGCCATCCAGTACAGTGAGCGTCTCCGGCATCCTCTTGTCCTCCCTTCCCAAGCAGCTGTTGGTGCTGGGTCTTTTCTGCATGTCCCTCAAGCTCTGCTCTCCCCCTTGGAGTCTGACCTATGCAGATGGCACCAGCTGACTCCCTTGCCCACTGGCTTCTGGCTGGCTTTGTCCGTTGGTGTCCTAGGAGGAGAGGGCAGAAGGGACATTCATGTGTTTCCTCCCATGGCTCCCTCCCTCTTGGGATTCCTTGGTTTGGCTGTGTCCTTGGAATCAGAGTCACTCCTTCTCTGAGAAGCTCCTGCTGCAAACTCTTCCTCTGGCTTCTGGAAACCACCGTCCACCTCCTCCTGTCAGCCCCAGAGTGGCGGCAGCTCTGCCGTGAGGGGCGCTGCTGGGTGTTTCCTCACAACAGTTCCCTCCTCCCTCCCTACACACTTGGAAACAGCCCCTTAATTAATCCTGTATAGATGGTTGAATGATGGCTTCAAAAAAACTATCTCTTGGAACCTGATTGGTTTGGAAAAAGGGTCTTTTTAAGATACAAGTAAGTTAAGGATCTTGAGATGAGATCATTCTAGAATTATCTAGGTGGGCCTTAAATCCTGTAACAATTGTCTTTTTTTTAAAATTTATTTTATTTTTTTTTATTTTTTGACAGACAGAGTGGACAGTGAGAGAGAGAGACAGAGAGAAAGGTCTTCCTTTGCCGTTGGTTCACCCTCCAATGGCCGCCGCGGCCAGCGCGCTGTGGCCGGTGCACCGCGCTGATCCAATGGCAGGAGCCAGGTGCTTCTCCTGGTCTCCCATGGGGTGCAGGGCCCAAGCACTTGGGCCATCCTCCACTGCACTCCCGGGCCACAGCAGAGAGCTGGACTGGAAGAGGGGTAGTCTGGACAGAATCTGGCGCCCCAACTGGGACTAGTACCTGGTGTGCTGGCGCCGCAAGGTGGAGGATTAGCCTAGTGAGCCGCGGCGCCGGCTCAACAATTGTCTTTATAAGAGACACATAAGGGTGGGCTTTTGATCTAGCAGTTAAAATGCTGTTTGGGGTACCTGCATTCCATGTCCAAGTGCCTGGGTTTGAGTCCCAGCTAGGCTTCTGAAATCAGCTTCTTGCTTGTTATATACCCTGGGAGGCAGAAGTGGTGGCCCAAGTGTTTGGGTCCCAATCACTTGTGTGGGAGACCCAGGTTGAGTTTCCTACTCTTGGCTTTTGCTGGCCCATCCCTAGCCATTGCAGGCATTTGGGGAGTGAGCCAGTGGATGTGAGATGGAGTTGTCAATCTCTGTGTCTGTAATAAATAAGTAAAAATGTTCAGAAGAGAGCCACACAAGGAGAAGAGGGAAAAGGCCACGTGTAGATAGAAGTAGAGGTTGGGGGAGGCAGCCACAGGCCCAGGGATGCCTTTCAGAAGCTGGGAGAGACCACGAAGGATTTTCCCCTTAGAGCCTTTGGAGAGAGGCTGACCCTGTTGACACCTTAGTCTGGGCTTCTCCAGGTATGTGGGAGAGTAAGTTTCTGTGGTTTTAAGCTACTTGGTTTGTGGGAATCTATTAGGGTAGCCCTAGGAAACACTGGTGAATTATTCTGATTTAAGTATGCAGTTTCCTGCTGTCAGTCTTGTAGACTGCAGGCATCACTTGTGAGTGGGATGCAGAACAGACTGGCCAAGTCCTGCTCATACTCACTGATGACCAGAGGAGGCTGGCCTTCCAGATCAGAGCCTGTATCCCTCCCTGCCCATCTGTCCAGAAAGCAGTATTAAGCACTTGCTATGTGGCAGGCACATATTATCACAGCACTAAATAGGATAGTAATGGTGCACGCTCTCACAGCTAGGGGCTAGAGTCCCAGGACATCACAGTGATGAGAAGGAAGCACCAAGTGGGGCACAGCTTATCCAGTGCATCTTCAAACCATAGCTCACTGCTCACCAAAACCTGGGCTGGCTCCGTGGAGTCTTGCCTCTGCTCTATGTGACACTGACTACGGGCTGGAGGGCCTACCTCCCAAGTGGTTAATTCATTTGATGGCAAGTTGGTCTGCCTGCCAGCTGGGCTGTTGGCTGGCAGGCCTCAGTTTGTCTCCACAGGTGGCTTCCCCATGTGGCTTGGGCTTCCTCACCATGTGGAGACTGGGCTCCAGGGGTGAGTCTCTCAAGAGTAACTGGCAGAAGCAACCTGGTTCCCTAACCTGGCCTCAGAAAGCATGCAATGTCAGTTCTGCTGTATTCCACCCATGGAGACAGCCACAGTGTCCCTCTTCGATTTAGGGGTGGGGGAAATAGACCCCAACTTGGAATTTTTTGGACGTGTTTAAAAACCACTCAGGATTTATTTAGATTTGTGCAGTCAAGAGGGGCCTTCTTGTGGACATGTTTCTTCAGCAGAGACCCAAAGGATGCAAGAGACCACGAGGAAAGGATTTGGTAAGAACTCCACGGATCATCCGGAAAGGCCGTCGAGACAGACAAGGGCAGGCCTATGTCTGCCTGTGTGAGGTGCACAGCACTACGCTGGGTGACTGAGGCAGACTCCGGTTCCCATACGACCTCATGGATCCATTTGAATGTTCTCGGACTTTATCCCAAATGCATAGGGAAGTCACCAAAAGACAGATAAGACATGGTCAGTTATGCTTTTTGGAAGCTCACATTGGTCACATATGGGAAGGGGCTTGAAGTGGCACCACCAGGGAGGGAGAAGGAGTGGTTCAGAGAAGAGGGGTTGGGGGCTTGTGCTAGGGAGGTGCAGTGGGAATGAAAAGAATGGGTGGATTTCAGACATGAGAATTGGGCAGACTTAGTAGTTAGTGGTTTGATACAGGGTTGTGATCAGAGAAGCAAGAATGAAGAAACTCTTGGGATGGTTTGATTGAATTCTTGATCCCAATTATTTTTTTTTAACTGTGGATATCTTAATTAACCAGGTTAATTGATCAATTAATTTCCTTATTAGAGACAGGTACTCCCATCTTAGGTTTACTCCTCTAATCCCCATAACAGCTAAGCTGAGTTGGGCTGAAGCCAGGAACCAGGAACTCATTCCAGGTCTCCCACATGGATGGCAGGAATCCAGCTACTTGAGCTGACATTGCTGTCTGTCTTCCAGAGTTTGCATTAGCAGGAAGCTGGAGTCAGGAGCTGGAGCTGCGTCTTGAACCTGGGCACTCTGCTACGGGATGTAGGCCTCCTAACTGACATCTTACCCAGTAGGCTGAATACCCATCCTGGTCCCAAATCTTTATTTCCCCAAAGTCGTGTTGTACACCCACAGCACTGCCATGGTCTCACAGAGGGGTGGGGGGTGCTTCCCCACTCATTCACTCTGGTCTTGGTCATGTGACTTGCTTTGGCCTATGGGACCTCAGTAAATGTGATGTAGGCAGAGGCTTGGGATGTGTGTGTACAGGTGGCTTTGATCTCCTGGTGATCTGCTGGGTGAAGAGCAGGTGCTAGGAAGTAGCGCTCTTCTTACCACATTCTTGGATCAGTAGCATTGTGATGACATGCTAGATGCAAGAATATTTGGAGGAAGCATTAATTCAGCATTTCATACCTGAAGTCACCAATTGTTAAGAGCAAGAAATATTCTCATATCATAACAGCATTTGTATTGGAGAAGGGTTTGCAGACCTGGGCTCCAGCTGTGCCACATGGAGCAGGTCACATCTCTGACCATTGGTACACAGATGAAAGATACCTGGAACAGATCCAAATGCAGTTTATAACCTGGAGCCCAGAGTCAGAATCTGGAGCCCAAAATCCATCTTAACTCCAACTCACAGATTGAGAAACAGGAGAATAATGATCGTCTGTGTGATGTATTTCAAGATAGTTTGTTATGCAGCATTGTGGAAGCATAGCTGACAAATACAAATGGCTGGAGTCCCTTGGGCGATGGCGCTCACAGTAGACACTGTTGAATCTCTCTCGTCAACTCTCCCATTACAGTTCTGCAGTCATGTGCCCCTCCATGAACCCCATGCAGACTTCACCCTGTTATTTATTTTCCTGATAACTTTAGTGCTCCACGCTGGATGGGGCTTATGGGACAATGAATTAAAAAAGCAGGAAGTTCTTCTCCCCATCACCTTTCACCCCACTTTTCTGCTGCCTGTTAGGCCAAGTGATTTAAGACGCCTCGGAGCATTGAGTGGCTCAGAATTTATTTGGGGGAAGGACCCAGGGATGGGGACATGTGGAAGAGGTTACTTATCCTAACCAGACGTCCAACACTGATGATGTCATTGAAATGGAGGAAGACAGAAGCCGGCCAAATCAGGATGGGACATTTCCTCTAGGAAGCAGTGTGCCCTGATGTATTGAGTGTTTGACTGCGTTCGGCATGAACACAACTTAGCTTTTCCTTTTATGAAAGCAATAAGCATTTATAAAATTCTGCCCCTTCTCCCTTTCCCCTAACTTATGAGCCCTTTAGCTGTAACCTTCTTGTGACCCACAGCTTATAGAGGCCCAAGCCATTTAAAACTCAATCTGAAGTGAAACACATTTCAGTCATGGTAAAATTAATTCCCCCAATCTTCATTGGTCTGCGACCTCGTGGGGGAATCTGGGGCTTGCAGGAGCGGGGGGGGGGGGTGACTGGGGAACAGGAGAAGGAGAGTTTTGTGAATAGAAAAGAGGCTTCGAACAGGAGAGATATTTATAAAGCAGCGTTTGGGCACTGTTCAGTTGGGAAGGAATTTGTTATAATGGCAATATATAAATCTCTGAATGGTATCATAAATCATAGCTCCGTGCCCAGCCAATCAGAAGCCAAGGAGACCTGGCTCATTGGAGCACTCAATCGTTACTCGAAACATCCTGCGTGGCTCCTTGGAAGTAGAATCGGAAAATCTGGCTACATTCGGGGGTGTGTGGAATGTCTTGAATTACTTCTCAAACATTTTAGATTTGATAAAACCCAAGACACGGCTTTCCCAGCCCCGTTTTCCTCTCCCCCTCAACCCCCAGTAATTATTAAACCCATGTGTACATCAAGAGGAGCCTAATCCATGTGTTTCTGATTCGTTTACACTTAACTCATCAAAATATTGTTTTTAAAGGGCTGTTTGTTGTCCAAAAAGCCTTTTCTCCTGAGCTTGAAAGCTTAACTTCGCAGAAGCAGGAAGCCGCCTGTTGCCAAGAGTAAATGGGTGAGAAGTCCGAGGGGCGCGCGTTTTGAAGTTTGTGCAGCGAATGTTCAGACAGGTCCTGAGCAGAGCCAGATCTGCTTTTCTATCTCCCAGAAATCGCAAGGGGGCCCTGGGCAGAAGTTTCTAGGCGCATCGTCTCTTCCCAAACCGCGTGAAATTGCATTCCAGCCAGAAGCGGAGCCAAAGCAACCAGCGTGCAGAGTGCAGGGATGGAGAGAGACAGAGGGTGGTGGACCTGGGAAATGAGGGGGAATCATCTGAAAGATGGAAAAGTCATGAACAGTGTTTATGCTGGCGCCCCCTTCTCAGGAGCTAACTTCATCGGTTTTGACACGCACACACACCAGGTAGTGATATCCATAGTTTCCATGTGCATTAACTCACTTGATGCCCTGAAGAAAGAGGCACCATTGCCATCTCTGTCTTACAGAGGGAGAAACTGAGTCATGGGAACATTGAGTGACAAGATCGTAATTCATCTAGGAAGTCAGCAGACCTGATTTTGTATCTAGTTTTTCTGTCTTAGAAACCTGAACTGGGGGGCTGGCACCGTGGCGCACTGGGCTAAAGCCCTGGCCCGAAGTGCCGGCATCCCATATGGGTGCCGGTTCTAGTCTCAGCTGCTCCTCTTCCGATCCAGCTCTCTGCTATGGCCTGAGATAGCAGTAGAAGATGGCCCCTGCACCCACGTGGAAGACCCAGAGGAAGCTCCTGGCTCCTGGCTCCGGATCGGTGCAGCTCCTGCAATCTGGGGAGTGAACCAGCGGATGGAAGACCTTTCTCTGTGTGTCTGCCTCTCTCTGTAACTCTGTCTTTCGAATAAATAAAATAAATCTTAAAAAAAAATAAACCTGAACTGGTGAACAGCATAGGATGCTGTTTGTGGCTAGTTTGCGATTGATTAATTCATTGAACAGCCGTGGATGGAAGTCCTACTGTGTGTCTGTCACTGTAGGTGTGATATAAATAAGGTAGTGGAAATTAATGTGGCGGTGGAAGACCCATATCAAGTGGATAATTGGTTTGAGCTCTGAGAAGTGCCATGAAGTGTCCCTGGGGAAGCCCAGGTGTAGTAAGGAAGGGGCACTGCCTGGCGTGGGAGGTTGGGGAAGACTTGTGTAAGTGACATTGTTCTAACAGTTCAGTTATTTTTTACTTATTTGAGGAACAGACTTATGAGCACACAGATCGGGAGTGAGAAAGAGGGAGGGAGAAAGGGAGAGGGGGAATGGTGGGGGGAGATCTCAAGAGATCCCTGTATCTACTGGTTTACTCCCCAGTGCCTCCAATGGCTGGGATGGGGCCTGAGCCTGGTATTTAACCCAGGCTTGCCACCTGAGTGGCAGGAACCCCAGTTACTTGAGCCATTGATGCTGCCTCCTAACATCTGCATCAGCAGGAAGCTGGAGCCAGGAATCAAATCCAAGCACTTAAAGATGCTGGCCTCTTAGGCACCCACAACCTGTAAGTGACATTGAACCCCAGACTTGAAAGATGATGTTATGGGTTGAACTGTTTATCCCTTCGACTCACACTCATACAGTGGTGACCTAACCCCAGTTTCTTAGAATGTGACCTTATTTAGAAATAAGGTCATTGCAGCAGTAATTAGTTAAAATGGGGTCATACTGGTATAGGGTGTGCTCCTAATCCCATATTACTAAAAAGAAGTTTTGAGATAGCTCCCTCGCCCCAGGAGAATGCCACATGAACATGAAGGCAGAGCTTGGGGTGATGCGTCTTCAAGCCAAGACATGTCAAATGTTGCTGTAAGCCACCAGAAACTGGGGGACAGGCAAGGGACCCATCCTTATCCAGCACCTTCATAGGGAGCATGGCCCTGCAAACATCTTAATCTCAGACATTCCAGCCTGTGGAGTGGTGTTTGGCCCACTCGGCTGTGGCATAGCCATGGCTCCGGGCTATGGTTTGGATATAGGCTCAGGTTACTGGTACCAAGAGGGTGAAACTTAATCCAATGATGCTGTTCAGAGGTGGGAACTTTAGCAAGTGATTAAAGTGGTTGGGGCAGAGGCCCATGACTCAATCACTGTGACTTTATAAGGAGAAATGAAGTCAGACTGGTGTGTTCTATTTCTGTGGGATGCCTCAGGACTCTGCCAGCTGCTGAACCAGGGGGGCTGCCTGATCCTTCCTTCATAAGCAGCTTGTCTTCGGTCTTCATTGTCATAATGAAAGCTAATACCCTTGATATCTGTTGGGGATTTGTTCTAGGAACCCCAGTGGATGCCAAAAGCCAAGGGTGCTCGAGTTCTGTATAAAACGATGGTGTAATATCTGCATAGAACCTTCACAGTCCTCCTGTCCACTTTAAGTCATTGCTAGATTGCTTAGCACCCCTCATACAATGTAGATGCTATGTGAACAGTTCTCATGTGTTAAGTACAGACTGATTTTTAAAATTGTTTTCCCTCTGCAGTTGGTTGAGTCCACCAGCATGGAACCCCGGGATACAGAGGACTAACTCTGTACCAACAGCAAACTAATTAGCAAACTAATACAGATGGGAAGGAGTCTACCAGGTGAGGAGAGAGTGGGGCAGGAAGGAAGGTAGAAGAGGAGAAACCCAGGAAGAAGAAAGAGTATTTGCAAAAGCCCTGAGGAAGGAAAGAGGTCGACATCCTTTGGGAGTCAGATTCAGGGAGCTAGGAGAGATCACGGGTGGAAGAGGAGGCAGGCAGATGCGGGTGTCTCTGCTGCATGACACATTATTCAAACAAATGGCAGTGTAAACCCAGTGCAGGGACACAGAGAGGTGCATGAATGTTAGGGGCACTGCCTTGCTGCTGAGCAGGAACTGCATCTGAGTGGTGAAGGGCAGGAGTGAACACAGAATAGAGTGGAACTACTGTGACCGTGCCTGGAGCTTCAGCTTGATAAGTCTCTTAAAAGGGATTTCTGGGGCTGGCATTTGGCCCAATGGTTAAGAAGCTGGTTAGGATGCCCATGACCATGTCGGAGTGTTTGGGTTTTGATTTTAGCTTAGATTCTGACTCCAGTGTCCTGCTAATGTGGATCCTGGGAGGCAATGGTGATGGCTCAAGTAATTGGGTTCCTGCCACTTGCTTGGGAGACCTGGATTGAGTTTCTGGCTCCTGGTTTCAATCCCACAGCCCAGTCCTGACCGTTGCAGGCTCTTGGAGCATGAACCAGCAGATGAGAGCTCTCTGTCTTTTGAACAAATAAATCAAATACATATATATTTTTAAAAAAGATTTATTTATTTATTTATTTGAAAGTCAGAGTTACACAGAGAAAAGAGGCAGAAAGAGAGAGAGAAAGGTCTTCCATCTGATGGTTCACTCTCCAATTGGTCGCAACGACCAGAGCTGCCCTGATCCGAAGCCAGGAGCCAGGAGCTTCTTCTGGGTCTCCCATGTGGGTTCAGGGGCCCAAGGACTTGGGCCATCTTCTACTGCTTTCCCAGACCTTAGGAGAGAGCTGGATCGGAACACAAGCAGCTGGGACTAGAACTGGCACCCATATGGGATGCTGGCGCTTCAGGCTAGGGTGTTAACCTGCTGAGCCACAGCGCTGGCCCCATCAAATAGATATTTTTTCAACTTTTATTAATAAATTTCCAAAGTACAACTTTTGAATTATAGCGGCTTTGCCCCCATAACCTCCCTCCCACCCACAACCATCCCATCTCCCACTCCCTCTCCCATCCTGTTCTTCATCAAGATTCATTTTCTTTCTTTCTTTCTTTCTTTCTTTCTTTCTTTCTTTTTTTTTTTTTTTTTTTGACAGGCAGAGTGGACAGTGAGAGAGAGAGAGAGAGACAGAGAGAAAGGTCTTCCTTTGCCGTTGGTTCACCCTCCAATGGCTGCCGCGGCCAGTGCGCTGCGACCGGCGCACCTTGCTGATCCGAAGCCAGGAGCCAGGTGCCTCCTTCTGGCCTCCCATGGGGTGCAGGGCCCAAGCATTTGGGCCATCCTCCACTGCACTCCCGGGCCACAGCAGAGAGCTGGCCTGGAAGAGGGGCAACCGGGACAGAATCCGGCTCCCCGACCGGGACTGGAACCCGGTGTGCCGGCGCCGCAAGGTGGAGGATTAGCCTAGTGAGCCACGGCGCCAACCTATCATCAAGATTCATTTTCAATTATCTTTATATACAGAAGATCAACTTGGTATAAAATAAGTAAAGATTTCAGTTTGCACCCACACAGATACACAAAGTATAGAGTACCGTTTGAGTAGTAGTTTTACCGTTAATTCTCATAATACAACACATTAAGGACAGAGGTCCTACATGAGGAGTAAGTGCACAGTGACTCCCGTGTTGATTTAACAATTGACACTCTTATTTATGACATCAGTAATCACCCGAGGCTCTTGTCATGAGCTGTCAAGGCTATGGAAGCCTCTTGAGTTCACAAACTCTGATCTTATTTAGACAATGCTATAGTCAAAGTGGAAGTTCTCTCCTCCCTTCAGGGAAAGGTACCTCCTTCTTTGATGGCCCCTTAAGACCATTTTCATCAAGCCAGTTCTCTACTTAGATTTTTTCATTCATCAAGCGATCCATTCTTTACAGTGTACCTGGCTCTGAAATGATACAGTCCAGTATGGTAGCCTCTTCTTGCATGTGACTCTTTTAAATGAAAATGAAATGAAGTCACTCAGTTGCTCAGTCTCATGGACATGTGGCTGAGGGCCCCGCGGTGATACCACGTGCGGGAGGCTGTGTGGGACAGTGCTGATGGAGGGAAGAAAAGCTAAATGGGGCACCATTCCTACCTTGCTTTAGATCAGTAAAAACATCCCCCACGTTTGGATTTCATTGCCCAGTAAGAACTTTACAAAGACACTAAGAGATTGAAAAGGCAGTTCACAGAGCTGGAGAAGATATTTGGAATATATTACTTTTTACCCAGCTTGTGATTACACAGGTGTTGGTTTCATGACAGTGCAGTTGTCCAGCTGTGCTTTGTACTCTGTTTTGTATGTGTGCTATATTTCACGACTAAAAACTAGTTCAATAAATATATTTGTCATAGAGTTGTTAGCTTTTTAATTTGCATAATAAATGAATTTAGAAGAGCAATGGTTACCTTCCTTTATAACCATCATTTCATAAAAGAAAGAAACATCAAAGTGGAGGTGATGTAATTTCCAAATTAAGAACAGCTCTATAAATCAAATTTCTCATTTTGAAAAACTTGCTAGACTGATGGTGTTACTTTGATCATTCCACAGAAAGCTGGTGAAAACGTCACCACAGTCCAGCATTTGGAAACCTCTCGTTTAGTGGGGGTTGGTCACTGGTTCTCCATCACTTACACGGCATTTCCAGTATCCTCTTTGGAAATAAAGATGTCTTATGAAATAAGTTAGGGGAGTGCTGGCATCAAACAGGATCCCATAGATTCCCTTGCTGCAGGCCTATTCAGAGTCTTCACTGCATTTCCCAACCTTGCTGTTGACAGAGCCATATTTCTGTTGAGTCATATCTAGGGACAATGGTCAAGGGAGTACACTTTGGGGACTCCATAAATGTAGGGCTTCATGTCTGTTCATTTTTTCTGACTGTGACAGTCCTAGAGTTAACTAGCCATTGCAGAGACCACACGTGGCTCCCAAAGCCTCGAGTGTTTTCCACCTGGACCTTTACAGGAAAAGTTGCCTGACCTTTGGCCCAGAGGACAGCTGTACCTCTTCCTCTCGGGGCTCAAAACTCTCTGAATCCGACCCAACCCAACCTACTGTTTCAGTGTTGTCTATCAGCTTCCTATATATGAAAAATGTACTTCAACCCTGGCACACTCAGTGAAACTCCTCTACTCTTTGCCTTTCCTTATGTCATCCTTGGCCACACTGATGGATCCATTTTTTGTTTCCT